AACCCGTACCCATCAGTGGCTACATAGTGCAGGGTTGAAAGCAGAAACTGAAGGTTTTATCCTTGCTGCGCAGGACCAATGCTTGCTAACTAGGAATTATCAAGCACATATACTAAAATATTGTGTCAGCCCAAAATGCAGATTCTGTAATAAATATCCAGAAACGATTGATCATCTTGTATCAGGTTGCACGATGTTGGCACCCACTGAATATAAAACCCAACATGACAGAGTGGGCCAATATCTGCACTGGAAAATCTGCAACTTCTACGGGAAGGAAACTGAAAGAAACTGGTATGAACACCACCCAGACTCGGTTACGGAGATAGGGCCTGTTACAATTCTATGGGACTACACAATACACACTGACAGAACAATCAAGGCCAACTGCCCAGATATTGTTATTAAAGACCACAAACAAAAACGGTGCCTTCTTATTGATATGGCAGTCCCTGCTGACTGCAATGTATCTTTGAAGATATTCAAAAAGCTGTCAAAATACAAGGACTTTGAAATAGAAATCTCAAAAATGTGGCATATGGGAACATCAACAATCCCTGTTGTAGTTGGAGCCCTAGGACTGGTTGGAAAAGAAGGGATTCCTGGAAGTCCATGCCTCAAGGAGATACAAAAAATTGTTCTGACAAGTACAGCCCACACTTTACGAAGGGCTTTATCTATGTAATTTTTTTTTTTTTGTCAGTGGAAAGTGTCATGATGCCATTTCTAACCTTAGGTCCCTGGGCGGGACCCGGAAAGAAATGTGTAAACGCCAGAAATCAAAGAAAATAAAAATAATAATAATAATAGTAATAGTAGTAGTAATAATAATAATAATAATAATAATAGTAGTAGTAGTAATAATAATAATTTAATTTCTTTGGAATTCTTGATCATAAATTCTAAGTATAAAAATAATTTAATTCATATTTACATCAACTGATCAAACTATATTTGAAATTAGGCAGACCATCAACACTAAACCGAGTAAAAATTATTCAATATTTCTGTTTATTTTAATTAATCTTTTGTGAGTTTTGCAATGTTTCAGTTAGGATTTTGTTAATTCACCAACAGTTCTCATTGCTTGCCTAACAGAACCATCCTAACATTTTTTGTTTGGCTCAATCAACAAAGCTTTAATTTAATTCACTGAAACATTTTTTAATGCTTAAATTTGTTAATTCTTGCCTAAATTTTTGTCATAAAACTTCTCAAGATCAGATTTTGGTCTTAAAAAGGTTACTGTAGAAAACACTGATGTCAAATAAAATGCTCCAAGTTGCTGAATTTATTGTTTGTCTTGAAGAAATGCAAATCCTTATAAACTGTTAGTTATGAATGGGTCAATAAATCCACTACTTTTTTTTCTAATTGCAATCTTCAGACACATGGAAGTTTAATCTATAGGAGAACTACATGAAATCAATCAGCCAAGTTACATCTCTTAAGGGAAATTCAATGAAAAGACAATGTTTATTACAAGTTGTTCTGTTTCTCTTCATTTGATTTATACGATCAACAAAATTTCCTTCCTTTGTAGTTGACACATTGCTTTCAACCTTTTTTCTCTCTTCTCTCAATTTTCTTTATTACCTGTCATTGTTTCTTTTTTTCCTATCTCTTTCTTTCCTTTATCTTTCTCTTCTTTTTCTCACTATTTCTTATATCTCTGCACTCACTTTCCTTTCTATTTCTTCTTATTTATTTTTCCTTCTCTTTTTTTTGTTGATCTCTCATCTGAAAACTATTTTCCTCATCTTTTAACAGTGACATTCAATAATTTAAAGAAAATTATATGTTCAATGGTAAAGCAAAATAGCAGTTATAAATATATAGCAAGTCCATCAGACTCAAAAAACAGGAATAGAGCCTTCCAAAAATAATGGAAGCAAAGGAAATTTAAAAAGATTAATTCTAAAACAACTCTTTAGATCAAGGGAATATGTAGTGAATCAATAAGTCTGTAGCCAAATGATGAAAAAAAAAGTATTTTACATAACATTTATTTCTGAACATAGTCTTCTTCCATCTGTTTGTGTATGTGTAAAAATTGAGATATAAATCTGAAAGAATAAATTGAAATGAGAAAATAGGAAAACTTATTTTTATAATGAATTTTGTTACTTCTGGAAGTTTTCCTATTTCATCATTTCAATCTATATATATATATATATATATATATATATATATATATATATATATATATATATATATATATTTTTTTGGCAGATTAGTTTCTGCATTTTGGTGTTGAAAGTGTAAAGGAACTGTCTCTATTTTGTGTTAATTGTTGTTAAAGCTCCAAGATTTCAACTGGCTTCCATCATTATCAAAGAAAAAAAGAAATTAGATGAAAGTATTGTAGTATGCATCTTTGGACTGATTTTGGATTTTGAGGTTTTGAAGGTTTGTGATTATAACTGAAGCCATTCAAAAGCTTGAAACCTTAACAAGCACTAATACAAAAGTGGGGAATTTCAATACCTAGATGCAAAAACTTACAAGAAAAGCTTATGAAAAATATAACATACACAAATTATATATTATCTTATTTGAATGAATATTTGTTGCTAAGCACACTCAATAAACACATGCATACACATGAGGGATGTTCTGAAAGTAATGCCTCCTATTTATTTTGATGGAAACTACAACAGCTACAGGTAGTACAATAACTTTATTGAAAGAGAAAGTTTTCAGCCATGACAGTATTTTTACATATAGTCACCACTATTAGTGGTGTAATTTCAGCTGTGCAGACCCACCCAAAACATGGTTACATTCCTATTATTACAGCTGCAACATATAAAACACTAAAAAACTGTTTCTATATCCATGGCTTAGTCTCCATAAGGATTCAGCAAGGATTAATAAATGTCAATGGATTAAGTCTTTTTTTGTTTTTATTACTCACATATGCTTCACACACATACACAAATAATGGGTCATTAATGAGAAGGTTCAACTACCACTGCCATTTGGCTCTGATGGTTTGGGTCAATAATAGGAAATATTCAGAGCAAAATTATTAAAAAATATGGGATAAGTACATTTCATTATATTTTGTTCAATTACTCTTTTGTTATTTTAAAGAGAAGCAAAATATATGACAATAATATACAAAGTGTACTAAGTATATTTGAAATTATTAAATGTAAAATGTTTAAGTAAATTCATTAACATCATTTTGAATGTTCTTCATTAGTCATATCTAATTGCTTAAAATTTGATTAAATTTACCTCAATTTAAAAATAATTTTCCTGTTATATACAAAAAATATGTGTACATGTGTGCATGTTTATACATTTATAGATATTTAAAGTGAATTAACAATTCAAACTAACCAGGCTAGTTGGTATTTACTTTGCCTAAATCCTGACCTATGTGAAAGACATTACCCATCTTTCTTGTATATATTGTCACACTGTGTCTAAAGAATGAAATTCATTTTTGTTTAACAAAAAATGTAAAACTCACAAAAATGAGAAACTCAAAAGCCACATTACCATCTTTATTGAGCAAGAAATTCTTACCAGAAAATGCTCAAGGATACTGAAGTTCCATTGTCTACAATTCAGAGAATTGGCTACAAATTTCATGTGATAGTCTCCATGGTGCAGAAAGCACATTCTGAAGAACCTAAAGTGATAAAAAACAGTACTAAAGTGATGAAAGATGGCTGAAAATGACTATTCTGAGAGCATTATAAAATCAATAACAAAATTGACACAAGAATTAAGAAATTACAAAATATTATCTAGTTTCATGATTATCAAAGTTGATGTGACAAAAAAGATTTTATGACCACAATGATATTCAATAGTTTGCATGTATTTGTCAGAGTAATTAGTCTGAGCTGTCTATTGCTGCTCCAGAATGCTTTCTCTGTAGATCAGGTGAAAGATTCACTTACCACAGTGAAGTATGGAGCAGGTAAAATTATGGCATTGTGATGTCTGATGGGGGCAAGCTGGTATAATAGAAGATGTCCACTGATGTGAAGGAATATCAAAATATATTATAAAAAGTGTTGCTTCCAAGCCTAGACAAGTTGTGTGGTGGTGGAAATAAAAGACAAGAGACCATTTTTCAAAAACAATAAGAAAGAAAATATCAAAAACAACAAAATCATTGTCTGAGTATCATGCTTTGTCCATCATATTTTAAAGGCCTGGTCAGCCACCTGATATTAGAGAACATAAGGGTGTAGGTTGAGGTGAAACTAATTGGGAGAAAAAGAATAATCATCAGCTGTAAGAAGTAATCAGAGAGAAATGTAACAACACTGATACAGCACAATGTAAACAATTATCAGACAGTTTTGTCCAAATTTCTCAGTTTTCTAAAGAAAAACAAATGAAAAGCTATAGCATACTCTGAACACAAACACTGAATGCACTGTTGTATAATGTCACATATTTCATATGTATTATTATTAGTTAGTATGCATATTAAATATTGTATATGCACTTTAAGATTCTGTCTCCTGTAGGATGTTTCTTTTGACTTCTAAAATTTTTTGAATCTTTCCTTGCAGTGAGTGCTGTATTGTATTTTGGTATTATCTACTAAGATTTTTCTTATGTTAATAGTTTTATTTTGATTGTTTGTAATGTGATGATCAATATGAGCATAAATTGCACTACATTTTGACAAATGACAAATTATCCTATGAGTATGGCACATGTTTGGCCAATCTAAGAATTTAATGTTGTTTTTTGATTATTGATATTAAAGATGCAATCTCATAAAAGAAATTAAAATTCATAAACAAACATGAAATTCATGTACATCTATATTAACACATCTGAAACAACCCAAAAATATAATTAAAAAAAGTTACTGAGAGAATCTTCTTTCATCAGAATTCAAAGCTTTTGTTATTATGACTGTCCTATTTGTCCTTAAGCAAAAATACACACAGTTGAAAACATGTACATATGCATATTCATATACATGTACCCACAAGTACACACATGACTATAGGCTTACAGCTACATCATGTTGAAACACAGGTTCTCGTCTGATCACCAAAGTTAAGCAACATTGAGCCTGGTCCGTACTTAGATGGGTGACCACGCTGGAATACCAGGTGATGCAAGCTTGGATGTATGGATAGTGTAATTGATAATGGTTCAGAATTAGAAATCACAGAGCTGAGTTTGAATTCCAGTCAGGTTCATTATATTCACTTACATGCGAATACCCATGGGAAAGGTTGATAAGCTGTAAAATACAAATCAAAACGCATGGATACATACACACATTAATATATTCAACATTGATAAAATCTTTTATGGTTGAAATAATGGCTTCAGAATCAAAATGTACAAAATATAGTGCAGAAAAACATCTTAAGCAATCACCTTTATCAATCTCGTAAGCCTTTGACAAAGTGTGGCATAAGGGGTTGCTACACTCTCCAGCTATAGTACCTCTGGAAGAATTATTAGAAGTAATTGCAATTACAAAGTTCTTCTGATTGGAATTTCTTTGCAATTATCAAGTTTTTCCTATCAGAAGGTCACCATTAATGGCCAGTCTTCTAAAGCCCATAAAATTAATGCAGGTGACCTCCAAGGCTCTCTCCTTAGTCCTATCATCTTTTTACTTTAATGATCAACCAAGGAACATTATCAGATCATTAGTAGATATCTATGTGGATGAACTACAATGCCCAAAATGTAGATGATCAGGGATTGGCTGCTGATCTATTCTCTGATCTAGCTCTAACAGCTCAATGGAGGAAATCTGGTTTGTAACATCCAATACCTCAAAAACTATGTTAATATCATTCCATCATCATCAAGTAGACACTGAATTTTCTTCAGTCATGATGAACGGTTGTACTGTCAATGAAACATTTATTGGGACTTAAGGTCATTGCAGATCTCAAGTGAAATTCATATATATGATCTATTTTTACCAATGGATCATATATATGCTGGAGAAATAGTCAAAATATATAGATACTGGAGAAATGGTCAGTTCCTTGCGCCACTCCAGAAATTAACTCACTCTTCCTGCCATGCTCTATCTTTACAAGAGCTAGATCAAAACAAATGGAGTATGCCACATATACAGGGTTGAATCATTGTCATTCTCTTCATGTCCTATTGGTAAGAAAGAAGTTCCTTTTGGATAGCTTCTTTCAAAGAACCACTACCTTGAGCACAGATGCTTTGCTGATCACTACAATCGTAACCTCTTTCAGTCTAGGGTCAACCATTAACCATCCTACATCCTCATATCTATATAACAACATCACTCAGTAACCCTCTACTTTGAGTTGCTCTTGTACTTTGTATTGGGTGAATATTTTAGCAAAAAAACTGATGTTGATTAGAATTGTGAAAAACAGCTTCATTCAATTAAATTGTGAAAAAACAAAAACAAATCAGCAGTTCTGTTCAAAACCATTTTTTATTTCTGTCTCATAAATTGCCTAAATAAATATTTAAAAATTAGATGCCAATAATTGTAAATAGAAATAATGAGTTAATTTAATAATAAAAAAGACAAGAATATTCATGAATTTTTTAGAAACTATCAAAAGAAAAAGAAAACAAGTTTGCTTCAATGTCTGTGAAAATAGAAATAAAAAGGTCAGTGATTTTGAGTTTTTGATTTCTTATGATGATGATGATGATGATGGTTGCCATTTCTCCATTATCTCATTGACCTTTGCTTTGTTTCTCAACTTGAGGACCAGTTTCATTAACTGAGAAGAATCATACTAGCATTGTTCTGTCTTTCCTTTTATCCCAAGCCTTTTCCTCTAATTATAGTCTGACTTTTAAATCATATAAACAGTGGCTCAAATGGCAGCTCAGTAGTAATTAAGTGGTACCAGATAATGGGTAAGTTGATTGATAATTCTGCAATTCAAACTTGAAATAGATGAGAAAAATGCACTGATCACTGAAGTGAAGAGAAAGGAAAGGAAAGAGACAGACACCAAAGAGAAGGAAAGCTAGAAGAAAGGAAGAAATGTCACACAACAGATAAAAGAAATGAAAGTATAAGTTCTCAATTTATTTGCATAAATGTCACTCTTTTTCTGAGTAAACTGTCAAGCCTCTTTGTGCATGTATCCCTGCTCAAAGAGACTTGACAGTTTACTGAATGCATGCACAAAGAATGACATGAATTTGCATACTATCATGCTCATATTTTCTGAATTCTGGAGATGAGGAGTTATTTGCATGCAGATTTTTGCCTTTGTCTTTGTTATTATCACAACATTTCCACCATTGACACTGGCATTCATTAGTTGTTTGTTGATCTGGATAACCTTCAGGTTACCCTTTTTTTAACCTACAGAGTTAGATTTTTATCACTCCACAGACAATGTTTATGGGTATCTTGTCTAGTTAACATTTAGTACTAATGTTATTGTTCCCAATAAATCTAAGTACACACAGCCAAGCCCAAGGATTGAATTCACAAAATGGTGTGAGCAATAAATGAGCAGTACTAAATAAGTACGAAATAAGATATCACTAGATATAGCAGAACATGAACAATCTATCCCTATAGATTAAATAATGTGTTCAGTTATCCAGATTGACAAGCACCTGATGAATATATATATATATATATATATATATATATATATATATATATATATATATATTTAATGAAAAACAGACCACTTTAAAAATACCATTACAATAATTTATTTCACCAAAATCCTTTTTAAAGGACTCGGATCATCAGGTAACAATTTGAACAACGTTGTTGAAATTGTTACCTGATGATCCGAGTCCTTTAAAAAGGATTTTGGTGAAATAAATTATTGTAATGGTACCTTAAAGTGGTCTGTTTTTCATTAAATATTAGCTCTATATTCACATTGAGCTCTCAGGATACCATCCTCCTTGGAATTACCCATTCGGTTTACCAAGTTCTTCATAACTTAAATATATATATATATATATATATATATATATATATATATATAATTATTTATTTAAAAATATGATTCCAAATCGCTACATAAGAGGTCTCATGTTTCAAAACAAGAGCCGAAAACTTCAATATAATCGAAAAGGAACCAGGACTCCTTACCTGTTATCTCCCCCTCCAATCCTTCCCTCTGTTTTTGTGTCGTCCTCGAAAAGGACCTCCAATCGATTGTGATCTGGGGCAAGATTTGGCTGGTCAACTTCAACGCTTCGAAGACTAAACTGCTCTCTATTAATCACCACAGAGAGCCTTCCTTCCCTCCATTAGAATGTCTGACGCTCAACTTCCCCGAGAGCAACTCTCTCATGCTTCTCGGTCTCACGTTGACTGCTGACCTGAGATGGAATAAATACATCGAGTCAATTGCCTCGTCCCACTGCGAGGAAAGTTAGCTCCCTGAGCCGTGCTAGGAAGTTTTTCTCCACTGAGTCGATCCTCCAGATATACAAATCCACAATTCGCCCTTGCATGGAGTATTGCTGCCATATATGGTCTGGCGCCCCTTCTGTTTGCCTCGGGTTCTTGATAGGCTCCAGAGGCGGATATGTAATATGGTTGGCCCTACCCTGGCGTCTCGTCTACAGTCACTTTCTCACAGATGCACCGTCGCCTCCCTCTGTCTGTTCTACAAATACTTTCATGGAAATTGCTCCGAGGAACTGCATTCGCTGGTTCCCAATCTTCATGAGTTCAAGCGCCCTACGAGGCTGGCATCCCGCTCTCACCCCTTCACTGTCGAAACTCATAAATGTAGCCGTCTCTACTACTCTAATAGCTTCATGTCTCGCACCTCTCGCCTGTGGAACTCTCTTCCCTTCTCCTGTTTCCCTGAGAGTTATAATCTCCAGCTATTCAAGTGTAATGTCAATCGACATCTCCAGTTGCCTTAATCTATCTACTACCCTCATCCTTTCTTCTATCACTCCTATCTGATCTTCCTATTTTCTGTAACCCCTTGCGTCCTAGTGGCTCCCCGCCTTGCTTGGGGTGAAATGCTTAAAAAAAAAAAAAAAAAAAAAAAAAAAGTATTATTTAGCTATAACCTAACTCAGATTTATTCAACAGTTCATTTCCTTCTAGTGCTGCAATCATATCATTTGCTTCTAATTTGATCTTAGTAATGAGTAAGAAAAAATTACTTATTCACTCTTTTGTTATAAACACTGAATGAACTTGAATGTTTTCCAACCTGAGAAAAGCCTTAAGGGTCAATTTTTCCCCCTTGGATTCTGTCAGAAGCATTATTGATTGGTAAGCTTTTATTTGCTTGAAACAAATTCAAATGATTTATAAAGATAGGCATTATTTGCTGTGATTCTTAAAATTGCCTTGAAATAGATTCATACTATGTTTGTACTGTTTTAGTATTTTAGTTTTAAACTTTATTGAAAAAGTCCAGCCCTCTTAAAAGCACATTTACCTATATTCTCCACTTTAACATATAACAGGAGAAAGTTAATAAAACCAAGTACAAGTTTGAGGCTCTAAATTCAGAACTGATAATACCCTTGACAGTTATTGTTTGGTGAAGCTGAGATCTCTACGAGAGGACACAAGAAAACAAAATTTCTTCTATTTTTGAAGATGTTTGTAAACATTGATTCTTCTGAATAAAACCTGAAGTAAATCTGCTATTCACACAGAATCGTTTTACATGGTTTGTTGATTACTAAATCCACAGAAAACTTGACATGCAATTTACCAGAAGAATAATTATCAACTTGTCTTATATTTTATGTTACAAGTTAAATAAAACAAAAAGGCAATTTATATTTTATGCATTCAGCTTATCTCCATTTTTCTTGTTGATATAAATATATTTTTCTCATTTGTTATTAAGTTAGTTCAAGTTGTAATAATGTCTGGACGTTTTTTGTATCCCAGAAAATGGAGACATTACAAGAAACTTTTACATTTACAAGAAATGGAATGATTAACTTTTTTATCATCATCACCCTGACAGCGTTTCATTGATCTTCCAGTCAACCAGAATCCAACAGTGCTATTCTACTTGATCAACCTTAACTATCCATTCCAGGTCTTCCTCATCATTACCACCAATGCTAGCCCCTGTCAATGCATCTTACCACTTTGGCCTCAACATCTTGGCATCACATGACCACAAGCCCATCAA